GATTAGTGGTTGCCAGGGAATGAGGCCAATTACTTTGCCAACAAAAGTACGTCTAGTCAAGGCTATGGTTTTTCCAGTGGTCATGTATGGATGTGAGAGTTGGACTATAAAGAAAGCTGAGTGCCAAAGAATTGATGCTTTTGAACTGTGGTGTTGGGGAAGACTCTTGAGGGTCTCTTGGACAGCAAGGAGATCCAACCAGTCCATCCTAAAGGAAATCAGTCCTGAATATTTGTTGGAAGGACTGATGTTGAAACTGAAACTCCAAAACTTTGGCCACCTGATGCGAAGAACTGACTCATTTGAAAAGACCCTGATGCTGGCAAAGATTGAAGGCAGGAAGAGAAGGGGATGACAGAGGATGAGATGGTTGGATGGTATCGCCGACTCAAACATGAATTTGAGTAAACTCTGGGAATTGGTGATGGACAGGGAGGCCTGGCATGGGGTCACAAAGAGTCAGACATGACTGAGTGACTGAACTGAACTGAAGGGAATGGGGGGGTGTCAGGGGGAAATGGAGAGTGGGTGCTAGTGGGTACAGAGTTTCTTTTGGGGGAGTGATAAAATCTTCTCAATCGATTGTGGTGATGGTTACAAAACTGGTTGTATTTTAAAAAAACCCACTTAATTGTACACTTTAGATGGGTGAATTATATATAATAAAGCTGTATATTTTAAAAAGCTTTATCTCTTAAAAAAAAAAAAAAAGCTTTGTTGACCCTGAAGATTTCCAGAAGTCCCAGGAGCCCCAGAAACCTCAGGAATACCCTAAAGCAAAGGGTTCCAGAGCATCTTTCTTCAGCCAAAGTGGGATCTAGCTGCCCTCAAGGTGCCATCAGCGCTGCCCTTCTCAGAACACATTTGCCCTCTTCTGAGGCTGGTTGGAATCTCACGTGAGAGACGTGAGCCCTAAGACCATGGATTTAAACTGCAGCCAGGAGGGTGGGAGAGGGGACCATCAGCACAGAGGCTGCGGCAGGTTTCCATTCTACACAGTGCCCAAGGGGTAGGGGATGGGTTTCTCTCAGTTTTAAACTTTTATCCTACATGTGCATCTAAACTACTGTTCTTCTCTTTGGAATGATGATGTACTTATTCCCTGTTGCCGCATCACAAACTTCCATCAATGTATTGGCTTGAAACGGAGAAGGCAATGGCAACCCACTCTAGTTACTCTTGCCTGGAAAATCCCATGGACGGAGGAGCCCGGTACGCTGCAGTCCAAAGGGTCGTGAAGAGTCAGACATGACTGAGCGACATCACTTTGACTTTTCACTTTCATGCATTGGAGAAGGAAATGGCAACCCACTCCAGTGTGCTTGCCTGGAGAATCTCAGGGACAGGGGAGCCTAGTGGGCTGCCATCTACGGGGTCGCACAGAGTCAGACACGACTGAAGTGACTTAGCAGCAGCAGCAGCATTGGCTTGAAACAGTACCATTTATCATTGGCAGACGTGGCATGGCTGGGCTCTCAACTCAAAGTCCTACCAGGTGAAACTGGGGTGTTTGTGGGGCTGCAATCTCATCAGGGCCTTGGATGGTCTTCCAAACTCACTGGTTGTCAAGATGATTCAGTTCCTGTGACTGTAGGACTGAGGTCCCATCATCTTGTGGTTGCTCCTGTAGACCATCCTCAGGCCCTTATCCTGTGGTCCCTCCATCTGAGGAACAGAGAGGGTCCCACACATCGATTCCCTCTCTTGCTCTGAATCTCGCTAATCTCCTCTTTCACAAGCAGCTGGAGAAAACTTTTTTGTAATGGCTTGAGTGATTAGGTCAGGCCCACTTGGATAACCTATCTCTTAGGCAACTTATAACCTAATCACAGGAGTGATGCCAGGGTCACAGGTTCCACCCACACCCAATGTAGGGAGTTCACGAAAGCAAAGGTCATTGGGGGTCATAGGAGAATTTCTGCTACCACAGAATGGAGACCATGAAGGAGGTACAGAGAAAGTTATGGAATGCCCCTCAGGAAGTACGGAGAATTGGAGGTGGAGCCTGAAGCAGAAACGAGGGCCCCAACCCTAATTGGAAGCTTTTTCCTCTACACAAACGTGACAGGAGCAGCGGGTGGACGGACAAGATGGCCTTTCGGGCTCTGGCTGACCTTTCAGGCCCCAGCATGCTCACGTGCACATGGGGAATCCCGGCCTTCTTGGGGTTGAGGGGTGTGGATACCAGCTATGGCAGCAGGGATGAGGCCCCATAGAAACATAAAGCCCTTGCCTGGGAGACGATCCTAAATGCTCCCAGGAAGGCAGAATGGGGGTCAGATGCCTCTGTTGGGGTTTGGAGCAAACCGCAGTACCCACCAATGCCCTGGTCCCCTTTCCTACGTTAACCACAGGGAGAGTCCTGGGCCAGCAAGACTGGGGTCCCCCAACCACTAGGGGGCGACCAGCACACACATGTTTTTGTCCAGGCTCACCCTGAGCACATCTGGGGAACCCAACTGCACACACTAGGGTGGAAGCATTGACCACTCAGGTTCCCACACCCCCAGGGCCCCAGATCCCCAGCCACAAGGCCCTGACCTCCAGATGCCCGCTTCCTTCTAACAGGCTGACCTGATTCACTTTGCTCACAAGCGAGCCCTTGACAAGGGGGCTGGAGCCCACCTTGATGTGTCCCCCATCCCCTCTCTCTGGTCCCCACTCCGTGTTTCCAGGCCTAACACTGCAGCCCGTGGTGGGGAGCCTCCTGCCTTCTCTTCTCTTCCTCCACCAGCTCGCCCTGTCCAGGCCTCCCCACCCCCCACCCCTGGGATATGTTCCCCTGCTGCTTTGCAACAGGTCGACAAGGAGGAGCCAGGTCGTCTGCTTCAGTTGGGTGCATCCCCCTTATAAAAACTCAGTGAATGGCCATCCTGGCTGGACTTTCCATATTAGACAGCAGTGGCTGGCTGACCACTTCCTCAGTTGATTTTAAGCTGTCAGGGCAGTTACAACAATCCCACCAGGAGCCGGGGGTCTCAGCAGAGCAGTAAAGGGGGATCAGGAGTGCAGGGGGAGGGAAAGACAGGGCCTCTGGGCCTCTGGTCAATATAAAGGTCAGTGAGCTCGAGAGGCTGTCCAGTCTCCCTCTGGGCCGCAGGCTCCTCTCTGGAGGAGTGGACAGGGATGGGGAGAGAAGGCAGGACGTCCGGTCCCACCTGAGGATGGGACCAGCCAGGCCAGGGGAGGGACAGAGGCCGGCTCTGATGAGAAAGCAGACCTGGGTGGGCTTCGAGGGGGGAGGCTGATGGGAAACGGGAGGAGCTCTCCCTGGGGAGGGGGGCTCAGCGTGCCAGGAGGCACCTGTGTATGTGGGCACGAGAAGGCTGGGCCACGCATGTGCCTGACACCTGCAGCTTTAGCGGCTTTCCCTGCATCTCCCGTTTCATCCTCACTATGGACCCCTAATCCTGTTATTCCCTGGGGACTTGCCAGGGTCACCTGGCCAGTCTGCACCAGTGCCTGGCTCCCTTCAGGCTCCTCTCAACGACCTTGCTGTCGCCATCCCCAGAACAGGCTGAGAACTCACCTGGTCCCGGTGGTCCGGCCCTGCCCAGGTAAGCCCAGGTGCAAGAGGGAAGCTGAGGGATGTGGAGGGCGAGAACCCCATCTGCTGAAATGAGAAGGCCAGGTTCACAGCGATACAGAACCCACGTGCTATGGATGATGGTCAGGGCCCAGACAGCCAAGGGAAGGAGCAACTCCTAAGGGTCAGGGAGGGCTTTGGCTTCAAGTCTGGGCGGACAGGGAGAAAGAAGCCGAGGCAAGCTCGCTGGAGGGGAAGCTGGCTGGAGCGAAGGAAGGTTTCCGGGTGGCGTTCTCCTCCCTCAGCCTCTCCGGACCGTGCGCCCATGTCACGTGCTGCTCCCACCAGCACACTGGGGGTTAACGTCTGTCTGGTCCAGTGACCACAGCGGCAGGCTGTGATGCCAGTAACTCAGAAGCTGAAATTTGAGAAGCAGAGGGGAGAGGGGCAGGGCTGGGAAAGGCTCAGCGGCAGAGAGGAAAGAGGGTTTCCCTGGCAGGAGCTGCAGCTCTGCTCCAGTGGCCAGAAAAGACCCTCCCTCCACCCCCAGCCCCTCTCCCCATCATCGCCCCCCTGCCTTAGGCTGCGGACTGTGGCGCCCACTCAAGGGGGTCCATGGTGAGCCAGTGTCCGAGCCCTTGGGCCACAGGGCTGCGGATGGGGGCTGCGGATCAGGGGGAAGGATGGAGGGCGTGCCTAGGCGGCCCGCGGAGAATGCATGAGGCCCTGCCCAGCGCTGCCGGAAGTGCTGGGTGGGGAGCAGGCCAAGGGCAGAGTGGGGAGGAGGAGGACGAGGACGGGAGGTCCCTAGGGGCCCGACCTCAGCGGCCTGGCCTTGACTCCCCCCTCCTTGGGCAGGATTGAGTCATGGGAGACACACGAAGCTACCCGCGCCCTTCCCGGCCCACTGCCAGCCTGCCTCTGCCCTGAGGACCGACCTCGACTTCTTCCCAAGCACGTGTGAGGTGCTGGGCATGGCGCGAGCTGCTCATCTCCCTGCCCTCAGTCAGTCCCACAGAGTTTAGGCGGGTCTGTTATTGTGACCCCCCATCATAGATGAGCAGACAGAAGCTCAGAGAAGCTCAGAAACTTGCCCGAAGCCACACAATCAGAGTGGCAAAGCTGACAAGATCCTGGGTTTGTCTGACAGCAGTTGCCCACCATGCCACACTCCTGGGAAGGAGCCAGGAACAAAGTCCAGTAGAAGGTGACCTGGGGCTGCACGCCAAATCCAAGAAAGCAAGAGATGAAAGGCAGCCCAGGAACCCCAGGAAAGAGGCTGCAGGTAAACGAAAGGGGCAGCAATGTTTGGGGCTTGTACTCCGCGAGGTGATGCAAACGGAATCTGGAGGGAGCAGGGCCAGGTCTGGTCCAGCCTGGATCCGTGGATGACGATGCTATGGCCACAGGGACCTCTCGTAAAGGCACATCCCTTGGAGCCACTGGATCACCACCAAGCAGGTGACCCACTCACCTCGACAGATCACAGAGGACTTCTGGGACTTCAGGTGTGCCTGGCCCTTGTTTGAAGAGTCAGCAACATCTACCATGCAGTAACAGTGGGCAAAGCTCTGCTAAATGCAGGCAGAAACACCAGGGTCTGTTGACCAGGAGGCAGGAGGGTCCTGGCTCCATGGCTTCCAGCGGTGACGTGACATTGGCTCACCTCTCTGAGCCTCAGCTTCCTCACCTGCACGAGGGGGATCATGTCAGCACTGAAACAGACGGCTGCTTTTAGGATTAAATGAGGTGTTTGTCAAAAAACGTTAGACTGAAAAACCTCATCTTCACAAAAACTTGTACATGCATGTTCCCAGCAGCATTATTCATGAAAAGCGGAAACAACCTGAATGTCCTCTGGTGGATAGATAGATAAACCAATGCTGATCCATTCAGACAGTGGAATATTATTCACCCATAAAGAAGGAATGAGGTGGATGAAACTTGAAAGGAATAATATGGATGAACATTGAAACATGATGCTCAGTGAAAGAAGCTAGATACAAAGGACCACATAATACAGGACTCTGCTTATATGAAATGTCCCAAACAGGCAAATCTGTAGAGTCGGAAAGCAGACTAATGATTGCCAGTGGTTGGGGGTGGGGAAAGAGGAGAATGGGGAGTGACTGCTAATGCATTCAGGGTTCTGTTTTGTTTTAAATCAATGTAGGGATGGGTTGTGCCATGCAGCTAGCAGGATTTTAGTTCCCAAACCAGAGACTGACCCCAGGCTCTGTGCAGTGAAAGCACAGAGTCCCAACCACTGGACCACCAGAAAATTCCCAAAATCAATTAAAAAACAAACAAACAAACTAGTTTTAAGCTCACAGCAGAATTGAGCAAAGATTCAGAGACTTTTCGCTTGCCCCGACATGTGCACAGCCTCCCCCACGATCAATCCCCATACGAATGGTACACATCTTACAATTGATGAATCTGCTAGGCTTCCCTTCAGGGGATGATAAAAATGTTCTGGAATTAGAAGCTGGAGATAGATGCACAACTCTGTGAATACATTAAAATCCACTGGATTGGAAATTTTATTTTTTTTTTTACATGTACAAACTGCTTCATTTATTTATTTTTGACTGTGCTGGGTTTTGTTGCTGCGCAGGCTTCTCTGTAGTTGCAGGGGATGGGCTGCTCTCATTGCAGTGTGCGGGCTTCTCATCACAATGGCTTCTCTTATTGCGGAACAGAGGCTCTAGGTGCACACGGGCCCAGCAGTTGCAACTTGCTGGCTCTTAGGGAACGAGGGCTTCAGTAGTTTCGGCCCCGGGGCCCGGTTGCTCCATGGCATATGGAATCTTCCTGGACCAGGGATCTAATCTATGTCCCCTGCATCAGCAGGCGGGTTCTTTATCCACCGTGCCACCAGGGAAGTCCTGGATTGTCCATCTTAAAGGGGCGACTTTTAAGGTATGTGAATTATGCCTCAGTTTTTAAAAAGCACTTAGTAAGAGCTCAAAAAACGTAGCTCTCATTACTATGTCCTTCAACTTCAGTGAGTCTGTCATGTAATGAAAAGAGACAGATGAACACATTGAAAAATCTTAGAGAGGACAGCCAGGCAACCTGGTCCCAGCAGTCTGGGACACCTGTCCTAGAGTCAGGCTCAGGGCACACAGGACATGGCCGAGGGATGGATATGGGATGCCCCCCATCACCGAGGGGGCTGATGTGGTGATAAGCTCCACACAGGAGTACCAAGCCCACCGTGTCCAGAGGAGAATAACTGTGAGTGCGGGAGGCTGGCAGGGATCTGAGGAGGTAGCATTTGGACTCAAGTCCTCAAGTCGGAGGATGTGGGTGGTTTGGTGGGGATGAGCAGACACCTCCAGATGTGTGGCGTCCCAAAGGGATGCTGGGAGGCAGGGCTGGCAGGAGTGGAGGGTGCTGAGCCCGGGGTGGGGTGGGGGCACACTCCTTGGAGCGCATCCTGTGCCCCAGCAGATATTGGGAGGGGCTGCACTTCACAAATAGCTGCAAAAAGCTTCCAGGAGGCGGGCCCTCCGCCCTCCCAGAACCTCCAGGTTTCTCTTGAAGCCTCCAAGAGGTTCCGACCACTCTGGGCACCGGCTTTCCTCTTCCGAGGAGCCCTGGGCCTGGGTTCCCCTTCTGAGCCACCCTCCCTCCCCGCCCCCCCGCCCCCCCCCCACCGCCCGGCCTCAGGTTCCCGGGTTCCAGGAGAGACAGGCTACGAGACGGGTGAGCCTGGGTCCCGCCCTTCACACACACACATACACACACACACCCCACCCGGTCCAATGACCAGGCAGGCTCATGCTGCGCAGGGAGGGACGGACCGTCACTCCCAGGAGTGAGGCTGGGCCCCTCCTCCAGCCCCCGGTGACTCCCAGGGGCAGGCCTGAGCATGCAAGCCCGCAGGTGACGCCCACCCACCTCTCCCCCCAACCCCTTTCCTGTCCCTCCTGCCTCCACCCTCTGCCCGGTATAGTCCCTAACCCAGGGAGAAGCCAGACAGTACAAAATTCCTTGCAGAACAGAAATGGGCCTGCCTGCTCACTCCCAGATACACACACACACACACACACACATGCACACACCATCCTTTCAGCCCACAGGGCAGACCACAGAGCACCTAGATTCAGGGCAGAAAAGGGGGCCGCGGTCACTTAGCTCTGAGTCTTCTCCCGGATCTGTCCCATCCAAGTGTCCAACATGAGCTGGGCCCCAGCTGAGCCAACGAGGGGTAAGCCGAGGGTCTCGCTGGAGCCCCAGGGAGAGGCAAACTGGGAGTCCGCAGGCCTCAGGGAGCAATGGCCTGAGTGAAGCTACACCGGACACTGGGTCGGGAGATGCACGCCCGCGGCCCAGGGCCACTGACAGCACGGGACCGGCTAGGCCCTCAGCCTGTGCAGTTACACGAGCTCTTAAGCAACTTGTCTTTGAAGGGGGGCCCCAGGCTGTCCTGCTCCTTAGGGGCTCTGGTAGCTGAAGGGCTGGGACAAGGCTGGGGACGGGGTCTCACCTCTCTCCCAGAATCCTGGGTGGGGGAGTGTGGGACCCTGGCAGGCTCTTCCTCCTTGGCTCCCTCGCTCGCTTTGACCTTCAAAGCTGACATCTGCCTGCAAGACTCCATCTCTCCTCCTGGAATCCAGCCTCCAGATGTCGGATCCGAGTCGGCGGCCGGCGGCAGCAGTGGCTGCCTGCCTCCCCCCAGAGTGAATCAGCCACATTCCAAAGGTGCGAACACAGACGCCGCGCCCTCGGCAGCCTGGGGCTGCAGACTTCCTCCCCAGGCCCGCCCGGCCCCTGCTCCCCTCCCAGCCCGCCTCTTCCCAGCCAAACCGGGCTTTGGGCTTCCTTTCCAGAGACATTCTCCTGGAACTGGAACAGAGAAAAAGAAAGCCACTGGGGCTGGGAGGCACCCCGACCCGCCCTGCTGGCTCTCTCCCCTACAGGGAGTGCAGACCCCAGCCCAGCACCCCGGCTGTTATCAGTACTTGCTGTTCATTCACGCAGCGGGAATTTACTGAGCACCTACTATGGGGCAAGCAAGAGAGAGGCAAGCCCCTGACTGCCCGGAACCACACCCAGCAAGAGCCAGAATCAGCTCCACAGACAGAAAACAATTCCAAGTGCGGGAAGAGCTCTTAAGGAAAGAAAGAAGGGGCTGAGACAGAGGACAAGTGACAAAAGGAGGGTCTCTCTCTGGAGTCACGTGTAAGCTGAGGGCTGAAGGATGGACGGAAACCTTATCTACAGTCACTTCTCTGTGTCCCGAGAACTACAGAAAAGCAGCCCCGAAGAATGTCTCTCAATTCCTCAGAAAGTTTTTGAGTCCTTGTGTTTATGCCTTCTGTCAGCATTGATGCAGGGAAGTCTGGCTAATTATCCTGATTTTTTTTTTTGACCGTGCTATGTGGCATGTGGAATCTTAGTTTCCCAACCAGGGAGCGGACTCAAGTCCCCTGCATTGGAAGTGCAGAGCGTTAACCACTGTACCCTCAGGAAAGGCTCCTGGCTAACATTTTTTTTTTAATAAAAGCTTTATTGCAATATAAATTACATAGTATATAACTTACCATTTTAATGTATACAATTCAGTGATTTTTCAGTATTTCCATGTGGTGCAACCCTCACCACAATCAATTTTAGAATATTTTCATCACCCTCAAAGAAACCCTGCACTGTTTACCAGTTACTCACCCCACCCCACCTCCTGCCCCAAGCCCCTGCAACCACTCACCTATTTACTATCTATGGATTGGCCTATTCTGAACACTTCAGAGCAAAGGAATCATACAGTATGTGGTCTTTTGCGTCTGGCTTCTTTTGCTGAAAGAAGCGGTGTCATTCATCCACATGGTAGCCTGTGTCAGTACTTCAGTCTTTTTCCTGGCTGAGTAATATTCCAGTTTGTTTATCCATTCATCCGTTGATGGACCTTCAGGCTGTTTCTACCTTTTGACTCTTGTGAATAACGCTGCTGTGAACATCTGTGTACAGGCTTTTTGTGGACATGTGTTTTCTCTAGGGTGCACACCTCGGAGTGAAGTCACCAGGTCAAATGGTGACTCTATCCTAAGGAACTGCCAGTGGCTGCACCACCTGATATGCCCAACATGTCCACTAGCAGTGGGAGAATGTTCCAGTTCCTCCCTCTCCCCCTCAACACTTGTTGTTGTCCCTCCTTTTTTGTTACCGCCATCTGCTGGGTGAAGTGGTACCCCACTGGGGTACCGAGCTGCACCCCCATTCCTTTCACGACTGCACTGTCCCACTCCCTGAGGATTCCAGTGTTTCCAAGCCCTGCAACAGGTCCTGCTGTGATCCACCTCCTCCTTCACAAGGGTCAAACCCTAATCCAGTCCAACGCCTGCAGGCCTTCAGGTATGAGGAGCAGTGGAGAGGAGAGATGGGCACCCGGGTCTGTGCCTCCAAGGAGGACAGTGTGGAAGAGGAGCCTGGGCAATCACCTCCAGGAGTTCCTGTAGGAACTGAGGCCTTCCTCTCTGCACTTTCACAGAGAGGGGTTTCACCTGTTTCTTCACGCCACAGCCCTGGATAGTAGGCACACCATAAATTACTGCCCAATGGGTGAATGAATGAACAGAAGGTGAAAAGAGAACCCAGAGTGGGGATTGGTGGTTAGAAGCTCAGGCTCTGCAGTGAACTGGTTTCCACTGAATCCCACCTCTGCGACTTTATAGCTGTGTGCCCAACTTCTTGGCTTCTGAGCCTCCCTCACCATCTACAAACTGGGCCTGACAGTGACTTTCTACCTGACACCACTTTTTAAAAAGATTCATTATTTTTATTTTTGGCTGCATGGGGCTTTGCTGCAGCAGAGGCTTGGCTACTCTCTCGCTGCCATGTGCGGGCATCTTGCTGCGGCGGCCTCGCTCGTTGTGGAGAACGGATCCCAGCTGCACGCGGGCTAAACAGTTGCGGTGCATGGGCTTAGTTGCCCCGCGGCACGTGGGACCGTCCCAGACCAAGGATCGAACCTGAGTCCCCTGCATTGGCAGGCGGACTGTTAATCACTGGCCCAGCAACGAAGTCTCTGACAGCACGGTTTTGAAGATTAGATGCGCCAAGCAGTGTTTAAATTTAATATGCCAAGGAATTCTAGAGAGGAGGTCACATATCATCAATCCTCACAAGTGCCTTGTGAGATGACTGTTGTTATTAATACCTGCTTTGCTGTTATAGACAAGGAAATGGGAATTTGGGGGGGCTCAAGGAGTCTATCCAGGCTAAAGGCTGGAAAGGTAAAGCCAGGATCTGAATGAAGACCCCGACCCCTGGCAGGGGCTCTGACTCAGTGCCACGTGGCCCCCGACACAGATGAGGAAAAGCCAGGCAGTCTCCAAGTAGTCCAGTTCAGCTGACGCCCCTGGGCTGAGTCAAGCTCTCAGAAAGTGAGGGGGCCACTGCAGAGTTCAAAGGTCCCTAACTGCAGTGGCCAGATGGAGGGACCCAAGAGATGTGTGATGGGGGGGCGCGGAATAAAAGAAAAGGTATTAACACAAAGAGACCCTCAGCCTGGGACACCAGCACACACACCCTTGTGGGGGTGTGTGTGCTCAGAGGTCTGGAAGGTGAGATGGTACTATGCCTTTTACCAGGGAAAGCAGAGAAGTCAGAAGTTTCCAGCAGGGAAGCCTGGCTGCTGGGATGGGCACTCTGTCCTCTGTCAGGGGCAGAGCTTGGAAGGAGCATCATGGCACCCACAGTGGGTGGACCCCTCTCGGGTTGACATGTGTGGCCAGACTCCGTTCAAGCCAGAGCCTGTATCGAAGAGCTCCACAGGGTTAGCGGAAGGGAGATATCAAGCTCACCCCTAAGAATGTCGGGTTGATGCACCTCAGAAGCTGGGTAGCGTTGGGGGGACTCTCCTGAATAGAGATGGGGTTCCTCTCTCACTTTAAGAAAAATCCATTTATTCATTTGGCTGCGCTGGGTCTTAGTTGCAGCACAAGAGATCTTCCTTATGGCAAACAGGATCTTTCAGTCACAGCATGTGGGACCTAGTTCTCCAACCAGGGATTGAACCCGGACCCCTTTAACTGGGGTCTTAGCCACTGAACAACCAGGGAAATCCCTCCCCCTCACTTTTGCCTCTTCAACTGAGGAAAGGCATCAAACAGAAAAGGACCAAGGAGGGAATCCTAGGGAATACCTAGTTTTAGGGGGCCACAGGCAGGCAGGTGGTGCAGACCCGGGAGGGTTTTGGGAAGGACAGCTGGGAGGAGGTCTACCCAGGGGGAAGGCTCAGGACAGCTCAGCGGTGAGTGGGTGATGGGGCAGCCTGCTCTTTGGAGGAAAGTTGGCTGGGGAAGGATCGAGGCAGAGCTATCACTTGAGATGCCATCATTTATTTTAAACAGGGGAGAAGCTCAGCTGATGACAGCACCCCAACGGAGAGTGGAATGCACTTAAATCCAGTTGTGGAAAACATTTACACACACACCAGGCTCCGGATCTGCTAGAAGGCTCCAGAAGGGGTTTCTCATGGCTGCCTGGCTGGGAGGTCCAGGACAGCGGTTTTCCAGGTTTACTCAGAGGACCACATGCATCTTAACTGCTGGAGAGCTTGTTAGAAATGTGTATCCCTGGGCCCCGCCCTCAGTAAGTCTCTCAGTTTGAGAAGCACTAGGGCTGTAAGGCTCAGAAGCTCTCCAGCTCAGTAGGCGACAACACAGGGAGGCTGATCTGAGGGGACCAGCTCTCAGCTCGTTCAGGCATTCTCTCTACGTTCATCCCCGTGACTCACAGGACTCAAATGTGCCGCCTCAGACCTCTCCCCCTCCACCCAGACACTCCCACACTCTCAGCTCACCTGGTCAGTGGCCAGAGCTCCAGCCGCCCCCTCAGTTCAAGGCCAGACTGTACGGAAGGTCCCAGGAGCCCAGCTAGGATGAGAGTCGTTCTCCTGGGGAAGCCCCCAGCCTGCCAGGTGCCCCCAAGGTGCCTTTGGCCCCACCTGCAGCAGTCTCACCCTGAGAAGGGACTGACCTACCTGACCCAGACGCAAAGGCCTGGAGACTGTGTGGCTGAGAAGAAGAGCAGAAAGTGTCTCCATCCCCTTTGGTCATTGTCCCCTCTGCCACCCCTACAACCCCACAGAGTATATGTGCGTGTGGGGGGGGCGGCGGGGGTTGGGGGGTGTCTCCAGGCCAAACAGGAAATATATCTCCTCTACAGGGTGAATCAGCTCCCTGAGGGGCAGGGCTCCGGAGTCAAATGATTTGGACTAGGATCCCACTTCTGGTCCTTTAAAATTAAAAAAAAAATTATTTGGCTACACTGGGTCTTAGTTGTGGCACACGGGATCTTCAATCTTCATTGCAGCATGCGAAATCTTTGGTTGTGGCATTTGAACTCTTTGTTGCAGCATGTGGCATCGAGTTCCCTGACTGGGGATCAAACCTGGCACCCTGGATTGGGAGCCAGGAGTCTTGGCCACTAGACCACCAGGGAAGTCCCCTCTGCTCCTTGACAGCTGTGCATGCTCAGGCCAACCATTTAACCTCTCTGAGCATCTACCAAATGGGTCCTGTACCATCAGGACTGTGCTCCAACATAGAGGAATGGGGCACATGCCTGACCCTCCCAGCGCCACATTTCACACCATGGCCCAGAGGCCAAGGCTGAAGTTGTGCCAGGCTAGAAAAGGAGCAAATTGCTGAAGACTCACCACCCTTGCCCCGTTAGAAACTCTCAGGATCAGAGGCATAAGCAAATCTCCACAGGAGATTGCCCTTTCCCACAGCAGAAAGTGGTCAGCGTGGCCAGCCAAGCCCAGATAGGAAGCACTGAGGCCCTTTCCCTCTGGTCTGAGAAGCGGCCAAAGAACGTGCTGCAGGTGCAGACATGGGTGGGTTTCGTTTCGTGTGTGTGTGTGTGTGTGTGTGTGTTAACTTCTCCAGGCTCGCAGGGATGTTTGGGGGATTCTGCTTGTTCTGCACTTGCTGGTTGCAGGCACAGAACCTGCCTGGTTGACTCCGCCTTTGTTACTGCTCCGGAGCAGAGGCGCATGGGGCTCTTCCCACCCCCTCCCCCGCCAGAGGCAGCTTTTTCTGGCCTCTGGGCCTTCTGTCCTCCCTCCCCAAGCCCACTTGTAGCTGCTCCAGAGCCTGGAGGGGTGACAAGTGCCTCCCAGGCAATAAAAGCCTCTCCTGGGTAGGCGTACATCCTCAGAGACTCCTGCTACATACTTGTTCTGTGTAGATTTCAGGGATGGGTATGAATTACCGCAGGCTGGTTTTGGGGAAGATTGTCAGCTAAAGGGCCCTGCCTGCCCATCCTTCCCTTCAGGGGGTCAGTCACACCCTCTCCCTCCAGCACTTTGGGAGGTAACTGAGGTGCAGCACAAGAACTTGACTCGGTCAAGGTCACCATATTCTGGGTCTCCTGGGTGTTTCAGGCAATGACACCAGTCTCCTTGGGCTCCAATGCTGTGTGACCTTGGGCAAGTTATTTAGCTTGCCTGAGACTGATTTCCTCTCAGATAATGTTAGCGCCCAGGTCCGAGCTGTCCTGAGGCTTAAAAAAAAAAAATATGCATAGAGCACCTAGCACTTTGCAGGGCACCTGCTCAACACTGAGCCATTATTATCATGATTCCATCCTTCTGCCTGTCTCCATTCCAGCCACACCAGCCTCAATGCCCGGCTGCCCCAGACACCCCCAGGCACTGGCCTGTTTCCTCGCTTCCTCCGGTCTTGGCTCAAAAGTCACCTTCTCCAGGGCCCCCCAGCGGCCTGGGTGGTGGCCGTTCCGTGCTTTTGTTCTCACCCTGACACTCATCCGACACACTGGACGTTCTACTGATGCACCCGCCGGCCTCTCTCGCTCTGGAGCACAAGCCCCGTGAGGTGCAGGGCTTTTGCAGCCTTCTGCACCCAGGGAGCCCGCGCTGGCTGGAGTGAATGGGTTCCTGTCGCGCCTCCCAGGTTGCGGGCGCCCCTGCGAGCCTGACTCAGGGGTCAGATTGCGCCCTGGGGGCCCCCAGGCCGGGTCGGAGCTAGAGGAGCAGCGAGCACTGGGGCCTCGGGCCGGGCGGGTGGCGGAAACCCGGGCTCCGGGGGCCGGCGCCGGAGACAAAGGGTGGCCGTACCTGCGCGAGGGGCGCGGGTACCTCCCCCAGGGCGGCTCCGGCGCGCGCCCGCGCGAGGTCACGTCCGGGGCGCGCCGGCGGAAGGAGGCCCCGCGCGCGGGGAGGGAGGGCGGGGCGTCTGCGCCAACGCCACGCCCCTCCGACCGCGGGCCCGCGGGCCCGCGGCGAAGGCGGGGCCATAGGGGGCGGGGCTGCCTAGCACTTCCGCTCTCCCCCGCCGGCTTCATTCATATTCATGAGGCGAGGGGCGGGCCCCGGGTCCCCCCACCCCCACCCGCGGCGCCCCGCCCCGCCCCCAGGCCGCGGATCCCGCCTCGGCGGAGGCTCCGGCCCCAGTGGGGCGCCCCCGGCTTCCGCCTCTGGGAGGGAGTTTCCACTTGGTCACGACTCAAAAATGTGTCGCTCCTGCTCCTCCGCCCCCTCGTCCCTACCACGGTGGGGTCTCCTCCCTCGGAAGACAGCGGGGCGGGGTCGGGGGAGGGGCGGCTCCTCCTTCCTGGGGCAGGTCCGTAGGGATGGGGCTGACCCTTCCCTCCCTCTCTCCAAGTTAGTGCCTGTAAAAATCCTCCTTTTTAAAAACGATATTGATAATAGTTCTAATGGATTAAGCGCTTACTCCACCAAGCGCTATGTGTTGTATGAACTACCTCTTTAATCCTCCCAATAGTCCAACTCAGCTAAATAAAACATTGTCTCAATAATCAGAAGATCAGAAAGTTGAGTGACTTACCCACCACCACACAGCCCCACGCCTTGGGCTTTTTTCCGGAAAGGTTGGTACCGTTAGGCTGAAGTGGCAGGTGCTCACCCCCGCCCCTTTCAAGAAACGGGCTTACCTAAGGCACTCCTGGCTGGCTGGGCGTGGCTAAGGGGTGGATCTGAAAATCTCCTTCACTTGGAGAAGCCACAGACCCGGGGCGGGGGTGGGGGGCAAAGCACGGGGCAGGACAGGCTGTACAATGGACCGGATCCACTGCAAAAATGAAAACGCACTGGGTCGGTTCAAAATGATTAATAATCCCAAGATGGTGAAGGCAGAACATTCGGTGAAGTATGGTGTTGGTTTAGTCGCCAAGTCGTGTCCGACTCTTGCGACCCCAGGGACTGTAGCCTGCAAGGTTCTTCTGTCCCTAGGATTTTCCAGGCAAGAATACTGGAGCAGGTTGCCATTTCCTTCTCCAGGGGATCTTCCTGACCCAGGGATTGAACCCGGAGTCTCCTGCAGTGCAGGAAGATTCTTCACCAACTAAGCTACCAGGGAAGCCCAAAATCACCCTTGATGGTGGATGAGCCCTGATAAGTGTCAGGTTTGTGCTACTGAACAGGTGTATGTCCATGAAGCCCTGATGAAGGAGCTGGGGGCACTTCTAGGGGCGGAAAAGCCAACATGGACACCCCCACCTCCAGTGTCTGTCCTTCCCTGCCCAGGACCCTCACTCCAGGCTGGCGTCTAGAGTTCAGCCTCCAAAACTCCAAAAGCTGAGTGCTTCAGGCCCTCTAGGGGTCAGGTGTGTCTCCAGTGGGAGAGTGTGTCTCAAACCCAAAAGACCCTACTGGCCCTGGGGCTGTGTCTCCAGGGCGTTCTCAGCCAGGGGCCCTGCTGGCAGGTGGGTTGGGTCATACATGCTGGGCCCAGAAGGGCCCTCAGTTCTGACTCAAAGCCCTTCTTTGGAGCTGAGAGTGAGGAACAGTCAGGGCTGATTCCCAGAATAAACACCCCACCCATAGTCAGCCCCAGCCTTGCAGCCATGGCAAGCCAGCGCCAACAGGGAGAGAGCTCTCCAGGCTGCCTGCTCAAGGTTAATAAGTCACCCTGATCTCACTCTTGCCATGGCTCCATCCTTGTGCCTGGGCCCCACTCACAGTGGGTTGCAGGCTTCATTAATAATAACAGCACAGCTACCATTTGCGGTGATGTTTCTCCCTTCCAGCCCTTTGTGTTCGCTCTTAGTAGAGCCTCATATAGCCCCATAGCAGGCATGAGGATCACCGTTTCCCAAACAGGGAAAGTAAGAGAGAGTTGATGACTTGGCTGAGGTTAAGGGCTAGAGTTTGGGGTTTGATAGATACCATTCATCTATCCTGGTTCCTATTACCTCTCCTACATCTGAAACAAGTCTTCAGGCTCACATGTTGTCTTGTATTATTCAATTCCAGCCCCCGAATAGATTAAAGACTCTGGAAAGAGAACTGTATTTATACAGCTGAGTTTCTGCTGGACTGAAACTCATCATGTGTTAACCGAAGAGCCATGTACTAAGTGGGCAGGTACATGTGTGTGAATGAGTGAGCCATGTCCCCTCTGGGTACTGACAGGTAAGGAGCCCACCCTAGACTGAGTGATCCCCTTGGAAACCTGGATGACTTTGCTAGCCCAGCACACAGCAGACCCTCAATAAATGTTGTTGAATGAACACATGATAACAGTTTAATAGGCATCTGTTTGAATGGATGGGAACCTAGGAGATGTTCAGTAAATGTTTATTGGGAATTCCCTGGTGGTCCAGCGGTTAGTACTTGGTGCTTTCACTGCCCGGGATAGGGGGAGGGCGGGGCTCGGTTTGATTCCTGGTTGGGGAACTAAGATCCTGCAAGCCATTCAGCATGGGGAAAAAAAAAATTCATTGATGAAGGATTAAGGGACAATATTCAGCTCCCAAATATATTAGCAATTATCTTAGCTCCAGTGGCTATAACAAAATACACAGGCTGGGTGGCTTAACTAACCATTATTTCTCACACTTCTGAAGGCTGGAAGTCCAAGATCAAAGTGCTCACAGACTCAGTTCCTGGTGAGGGCTTGCATCCTTGCTTGCAGACAGCCACCTTCTTGCTGTGTCCTCACATGAAAGGAAGAAAAGAAAAAAAAAAAAGAAAGGAAGAAAAGGAGGGAAAGAGAGAGCTCTAACTTTCTTCCTCTTCTTATAAGGCCACTGATCACATCATGGGGACTGCATGAACTTATTTAAACCTAATTACCTCCTAAGGGCCCCATCTGCAAATACTATCAGATCAGGGTTGGGGGTAGAGCTTCAACATATGAATACAGAGGAGGACACAAACCTTCAGTCTCTAACAGCAATGTTTATGATGATGCTAGGCCCTGGGCAGGACCCTGTAGAGGGGGTGACAAAGCAGATACTGTCCCCTGTCCTACTTCTCGGGGCATTTATGCTCTAATAGAAGAGACAGTATATAACACATGGGAGGGGAGCAGGTGGCAAAGGATGGGTACTCAGAATAAGGGCTCCTGGAGGGAGGAGATCTAGTGTCATACTAGGGGAAGAAGACATCCCTGTTCACCCACCTTTAACTTAGAAGGAGGAAGCCATGCTTGGCCTAACTGCTATAACAGGTGCTGCCTCCCAGAAAAGCATACCATGAAAAACCCTCTCTGAGACTGGCCCTCTGAAATGTCCCATACTCCATCTCACCACTTAGCTGATGCCCCAGGGAGGCAGCAATTATAACAAATGCTTTGGACTCAGATTGATTGAGACCACAACTTGGTCTATGCCTCCTTCTGTAAGACCTTGGCCATGCTAATCTCTGCCTCAGTTTCTTTCTCTGCAAAATGGGAATAATTATAGGACCCACCCTCAGGGTTATTGTGAATATAATAAAAGTAAAGCATCTCATTCAGAGAAAAAACTGGTCTGGCTGAGAATTGGGGATTTCTAGTTGGGTCGACTCCGCCAAAATTTTATATACAGTTCCTCATTCTTGTTGGGTTTGCAGGTGCCAAATTTAGGGGTTTGTTTGCAGCTAAGGGGACACCAACTGGGTCCTTGAATTGAAAAGCAGTGGGTTAGGCTTAATGATACCTTCTGTGGGTATACATATGTGCCAAGTTGCTTCAGTCATGTCTGACTTCTGTGAACCTATAGACTGCAGCCTGCCAGGCTCTGTCCATGGGATTCTCCAGGCAAGAATACTGGGTTGCTGTACCCTCACCCTCCCCTCCCGCGGATCTTCCCCACCCAGGGATCAAACCTGTGTCTCTTATGTCTCCTGCATTGGTAGGCAAGTCCTTTACCACTAATGCCATCTGGGAAGCCTCTTGATTCCTAGTAGTGATTGCTAATGTATATTGAGAATATACCTCATTTAATCTCCACAACAACCTCAGAAAGGAGATATTATTTACCATCCAAATGTGGGAATTCCAAGTCAGAGTTCTCACTGGGAGCAACGTGCTTGTCCATGGAAACACAGGGGAGCAGAAAAACAAATGAGAAAGGTCCTCACGGGTTAAGGTTTCTTGTGGTCAGGTCCCCTCATAGTGTGGAGACCTGTGGATTTCACTTGAATCAGTAGCAGCTCAACTGTGAGACCCAGAAGGGCAAGGATGGCTGGGATTGTTCACTATCTGTCCCCGCTGTCGCTGGCATCCTGTAAGCCTTCCATAAGCACCTTTATCATATATAAATCTAGCCCCTTGTGTACCTTTTACCATACACCTGCACTCCCTCACAGCTGGAGCCTGCAGGGCCAGCTGGGAAGAAGTGAGGCCCTAGGCTGCAGGGCCCCCCTGAGGGCCAAATCCGGGAGGCCGGAAGGGGGCCCTTGGCCCCTGCCCCTCCCCACGCACTGGCTGGTCAGCAGACCCAAAACCCAGAGCGTTGGCCCTTAACAGCCCCCTCCTAAGAGGTGCTAGTTCCCGAAGCTGGCCTTCCCTCGGGACCATCTGCCGGCTAATGTTTAACCCGGCCTCACTCCACATTATTCACACTGGGAAACTGGGGTGGGGTGGGACAGGGGAGGTCACCTCCAAATGGTGCGGGCCTACTGGCCTTTCATGGATCACCCAACGGCCTCTTGTCTGTTCATGCAACGGTCATGAGTACCTATTACTTGTCCATTTATGCAACCTATTATGTATCCGTTTGCTGGAAATGTAATGAGCATTTACTACCTGCCCACATAACAACTCACAGCACCAATTATGTGCCCATTCACCCACCAGCCGTGAGCCCTACTATACCTACGTGACCACTTAAGATGGAAGGAGCACCTGCTCTTCGTCCATCCGAGAAACATATCCTGAGCACCTACTATGTGCGGGAGCATGGTGCCAGGCACGGAGGACGCTGAGTGATGAAGACCTGCTCCTCTCAGGTTCTGGCCGGGCACCAACCGCACGAATGAAGGCAAAATTACACCCAGAGTCAAGATGCCTCGCTTAGAGTGGATGGTTTTCCTCTCCCGGATTCCTCAAGGCCAACTG